GAGAAGATAAAATTCGTATCTCCAAACCACCATTTAACATTCTGTTTATCATATAATTACATATGAAAGCAAATTATGTCKTAAAATACCTTYTTTTCTTGCTTCCACTATATATGGAAACYTCGAACWTTACGAAATGGWGAAATATAGTTATWTCACAGATAATTGTATGATAAAGAGCAATGATTCTTTTTAGAATTTCTAACTAGAACAAAGTACCTTCGCTCCATTTGTAGATTCAATGAGTTTGTTAACATTGAAAGCATCTTGTAAAGGTTGACTGGGACGGTGCTCCAAGACACTTCCATCACCACTGCAGCTGTACAGATGCAGKCYATCATCATTTTTATCTTCTGTATCAAAACAAACAATCAATAATATTTTAAAAAATGAGCCTTATMAATAGTCACCTTCATGGCTCCTTCACTATTGTGCATGACAGACTAGTTGTAAGACAAGTTTGTGRKGAAAAGAAGGACAACAGACAAATCTATTGTGTGCTWAGCAGCTACCTGAAGGGARGAGTGYRGGCACACTTKAAATGAATATTGAAAATTACCCCTCAAAAAGGCTTTTTAAAAGATTCTGAGGGGGGCATGGAAGTATGAAACCCCTTCCTTTGTGTGTTTAGCCTTGGAAAGCCCTTGAAAGCCCTCGCAAACTGAAAATTTGAATCGCATCAGACGAATCTCAAGAAATGGAAAAACTTAACAAGTGAAACTTCAAAGTATAGGGTCGAGTATAAAAGAACATAAGAAACTATAAAGCTAAGATTGAGCATACTGTTTAATACTTACTATTTTCTGGGCAGGGTGGTCCCCATGACAACGAGTACACTGTGTTCTTGTGATAAGATGCAAAAACTTTGGGCCTTTCAAGAAACAAAAAACATAAAAACTTAATAAGAAAAAAAGCTTGTAATAAGAATAAAAAATCATACGTCACATAACAGGGTATAAGATGACATACTTTTTAGAAACTGTATTGTAGATACCAACTTGACCAACATCAGTACCAAATGCCAGGATGCCTTCTTTACTGGGATGCCAGGAAACCTGGAATGTTATTCAAAGATTGAAACAGTGAGCAAAACACTTCAGAATAAACAATAAAGCCTGGTTTTCACTAGCARTGCAAGTGCAAATGGAGAATTAAAGGAGACACAAACACAGTGATAAAGAAAGCACAAGAAATCAAAATTTCTGTGTTTGGTGTTTTTTTGTGCTGTTTACTGTAGTCAGGCATAATTATAACACTCATGTCCAAGTCTTGTCAAAATTCAGACACAAATGACAGCCGAAATTCTTATTATTACATGAATTTCAACAGTTAAACAAAGTTTTTCTGTGAGATGTCATGGAGGCAAAATGACATGGATAGTGAGTGATAGGGGCGAGATTGCATGGTAGTGATATTTATTGCAAGATGACCAGTAACAGTTTTACCATAAATGATCTAATAAACGCCGGGGGTGTTTTAAATTGTGTGTATTAAATTTCAATGCTCCAAAGGGGGGCGTTTAATAGACGGGAGGTGTTTATTAGAGAGAGGCGTTTATTCTAAAATAAAACTGTAACAATGTAATGTAATGTACTGCATGTTATGATTTATAACTTCTACCTAAAACAAGGGAAGTAGGCCTCGAGTTACTGGGCGCTACACTGATAGGACAAAACGCAAAAATTGCTGATATACTAAGCAATGAAATCAGAAAAATTAAAGAATGCTATCCTCATTTTGAACTAGAAATGGAACTGGACATTACTCACCTACCAAGAAGACAATTAAATTGATTTATGTTACCGTCATTCCTAAGTCGTTTGTTTCTAGTGTTGGATGGTGGCACGGACGGGAGGGGGGAGGGCATTTAATAGACAGGGTGCGTTTATTAGAGAGGCGTTTAATACAAACTTGTAAGCATAGAGGGGGTAGTTCATTAGATAGGAGGCGTTCATTAGAAAGTGGGCGTTTATTAGATCATTTACAGTATATGAATGTTGAATATTGTCTTTTACACTTTGATTACACAGAATATTTCTTACCACTTGTACTTTTGACTTGATCCCCTGCCACAGTGTCACAGCATCAAATGTACTGAGAGATGAATTAGTGTTCCATATTCTTATCATATTGTCGCCGACACCTACTGCCACTGCTCCTGGGTCAAGAGGRCTGATATCCAATCCATACACATAGCCACCAAGAGTAGAGATACAGTGAAGACTGTGGAGGGTCTTCAGATCCCAGATTATAATCTGAACAAAGAATCGCATTAATTGCTCAGAAAAGTATTAATTTATTGATATAAAATAGCTGTGCATGTCTCTGTCCCGATATAAACATGGTGGAAGATTGAGAGTATACATTTAAGTGAAGAAAACTTAGAAGCATTTGTCAGGATGGCAAGTATACTCCAATTTCGAGTTCTGGTTTGCTCTGTGTTAGCCTCAAAACCAAGTAACATATTCTTTTGTTTGATTGATAGCCTGTGAAAACCGATGGAATTTGAAAAGAAAGACAATGGAATTTATCTGAAATCTCACAATTTTATTCTCACAATTAGGAATATTTAGTGCACAGATGAAGCTAACACAGAGCATTGGAGAATTCGAAACTGGATTATTTCTCATGATTTTAAAGTTTATTACGCATGTATATGAAAGGCTTTAAAGTGGCCAACTCGCTCAAACGAATATAAATCATTTACCATTTAATACTTAGAAACAGACTTTAGGGGAGTGTCCACATGACAGCTCCTGCATGCTTTATTGGAATTTCGGTATTCACTGAGTACAATGAATGATAAATGCAGCACTTGAATCGACATGAAAAGGGCACGTAAGAAAAAACCCATACTGCTTACTAAAGACTATACTAAGGTTTTACACATGCCAGACTACATACCTATGTATAATATATATAATTAGAATAAGTAAAACGAAAAAACACACATTTCTTTTTTGGGGAGCACGACGCTAGAGAACATAGGACGCAAATGGGAAATTGTGCAATCCTATYGGCTATTTATATTATAGTCTAATCACTGATCCATAAATACCCCTGGGCATTTACTCCTCTTAACTATATGCTAGTTAAGTAAACAATGTTAAATACAAAGACCTTTTCTGAAATACGAAATCACAATGCATTGTGATCTAGATTCCGTTTGGCTGAATCAGACCACAATGCAATGCAAACAAACACTATACCTGTCTATCCATAGAAAAGCTCACAGCCTTTGTCCCATCATTGTTGCAAGAAATGTTAAACACAATCCTTGAATGACCATGAGAAAAGTACTGGAACTGATCTGATCCACTGGGTACAGAGAGGTCCCATAGAAGAAGCTCTCCACTGTTGAATAAGAAAGAAAAATGCCAGTTTGAACTAGTTTCAGAAAGTGCACTTAATGTACATGAAAGGAAACTTGTTCAAACTCAGAAACAGAAGACTTGTYCACTCCAAAGGGATCACCACCTTATTGTGGTGGARTGGTCTGCACCTTCAAGGTGATTCAAGGAAATAAATGTTTCCTTAATTCCTTACATATTCCCACTTATACAATCTACATGTACTGTTACTACCAAATCCATCGTAGTGTGGATGACAAAAGTGGRCGGAGCAGGGATATAAACATATGTGCCCATTCCACACTACTGTGCATTCGGTAGTACGTGAACACTAATAATAGAGCGGATTTCGTATGAGTGGGACACTGTTACCGCACGGTTACCGCACAGTTACCGGACCTGGCCTGCACAATTTTGGTGAACCAATGGGACACTAGAATTTGGTTACAGTACGATTACGTTCACAGTACAGTACCGTCCGTTTCCTACTCATACGAAATCCGCTCTAAGCCTGGATTCACTACAGCATCATCATTACCTATGTGAGCTTGATATCATTTTATTTGGCAAAGACCTGGGCCAACACAAGGCCAACCACACTCTATCTTTGCTTTGCCAGTCATGTCTGTCTTTCCATTTCTGTGAAGCCCTTTTAGGCAAGTTCAAAATGGACAAAACCTTTCCATTCAGAGTATCCCATAATCGGAGAGTCTGGTCCCTTGATCCAGAAATAAGCAGGTTTCCTTGAGAGTTCATGACCTTTTCTTGGAGATGCCCTTTTGCGTGGAAATGTTAGCAAAACGATGTAAGAGAAATTTAAAGGAGCGTAATACAGGAATAACTATTTATCAACTTAGTGCAATGCCATTTATAGTTTGGTTTGTTTTTTTAATATGCAAGACTTAATCAACACAACGTGATTTCTTCGCAGGTTTKGCTAAGATTTAGGATTTTTGTTTTTAACCACTTGGTTACAAAGAGGAAAGAGGGATAAATGCTCATTTTAATGGTAAATTTGGATTCAGAAAAAGCTTAATAACTTGTGAACAGAGTCTATTTATCCTCCAAACTGCAATATACATACATTTTAAAAGTTCTGTTAATTTTTTTTGTGTGTGGTGTGGATGCATATGTTGTAGTTCAGGTTCAATATATTTTTGAACCAGTTTAATCTAATTTGTTCCAGTACAAGTCTTCTTGTACTGGTCTTTTTTTTTTGCTTTGGCATTCTTGAAAGAACTAAAAGAACTATATCCCATCTCATTCTCTCCCATTTTCTATCTATTATCTTATTTTCTACCTTCTACTATTTCCTACTTTATCTTACCCTTTCCCCCACAGAAATATTGATATTTTCTATATTTTTAATTTATGAATAACACTTACCTTCATCAAGGTTTGAACCACTGAACTCTTGCTTCATAGTCCACAGTACTACCAATTATACCATCAAGGATTTTGTTGGTARTRATRTTTGCAAATTGTTTTTATCTTAATTGTAATTTATTAATGAAGAAAATTTTTATATAATGCTGGCTCAACCCTATTCCCAACCCTATTCCCAATCCTAAACCTAACCCTAAACCTAACCCTATACTTAACCCTTAACCTAACCATAAACTGATTTGTACTGGATTGAGTTATATTGGACTGGCTCAAAATAAACTGAACCAGTTCAGAAGAAATTGAACTGGTTCAAAGTCATATTGAACCTGAACTACAACACATACATTGCATGGTGATGTCAGGATTGGTGCTTGCTTGGCCAGATCATGAGTGATCTGATGCATACATACATAGTATGATTGCTAGTGGCACTCCCTTTTGAAAGGTACTGTAACTGTGGTTACAGTTCATACATAGATCTATTCCACAGTGAAGGACTGTTCAGTGTAGAGGTTGTTTGATGTGGTGGGTGCAGGTGGAGTAAATGCATATTTACATGTACAGTACTATCCATGGTACAGGCCTCACCTAATTGTAGATGATCAATGGAAACAGGACACCAAGAAAGACTATGGATATCACTGTCATGTCCTCTTAGCCTATGAACAAGTCTAAGTCCTTGTTCTTGAAGTTGTACAACAATAATAAGTCCATTCTTGTACCTGTTCATAATAAAACAAAGTATACATTGTACCACTTATTAAACGTTTGTCAAAAGGTTTGATAACAATGATGAATACTACCATTGTCTTATTATATAAGTAGAATGAAATAGAACAAAACACCAACTTGAAGCTATAAAACTCTGTTTATTGTCTTATTATATATATACACTTACCCTACTGCTGCGACTTGTTCTGATTGACATGACGCTGATATACAGAAGACATACTCTTGTATGGGGCAGAAACTGTAGACAACATTCTTCTCATGCTTCCAAGCTATAATAGTCCCTTTCTCRTCAGCTAATATAATGACAACACACCATATGATACTGTCAGTATAAATTATGATATGACAGAAAATGTGATAATACTTTTACATGTAATTTATTGGGGTCTCTTGGCTGAAAATTTGTGATTCAGAAACAACAATATTCATTCATTTAAATATGTGTCAAATAAATTGACAAACTACAGGTGAATAAATTGAGTTTTTATAGTGCAACTGTCTCTCGTTTCCATATTAATAGCACTGTAATTCACTCTTGCTTGTCAGAGAGGGCACAGAAAGCCCAAGTAGAAATGAATCTTATTATATAGCATCTAAAAACCCTTGTGTTTAATACCTGAAAGAACTAAATCACTTGATACACTTGACCAACATAAGCASGTCACCTTGTTCTGCATTGAATGAAATAATCATATTAACAAATACATGTAATATTGAAGGATTGGCAAATACTTTATTGTATGTCTCAATTTTCAATGTATTTCAGTATATAATGATTAATAAATTAAAAAAATCATTCTCCACAGCCCTAAATCTATCTACATATATATATGATATATATTTCTCTCTCTCTCTTCAGCTAGTTAGCCCTCTCTGTAATATTCTGCATTCGCCACTGCATTACAATCCCTCTAATGGGAGGGAATCTCGTTATAAAAGGATAAGATAGGGAAATGGAAAAATGGAAAAAATAAGAGTAAAAGCAAGAAGAACAAATTAAAAAGAAAAAGAAAAAAGGAGGGACGACATGAACGTAAAAAAGGAGTAAACAAAAAGAAAAAATAATAAGTAAGCTTAGCGAAGTACAGACATAAAGACAGACAGACAGAAAATGAGTTTAAGTTATATTCTGACATCGCAACAACGTAACTCGAACGTTGTCCATGCGTCAAGAATTCAACAAATTTATAAAACTTCAATAAACCCACTTGGTGCGCATTATGTGACGCTATTATAGTCCTGCTTTCCATGTCCCATATTCTAACACTCTTATCCTCGCCAGCACTCGAGCAAAGCTTGCAATCWGGGCTGCATGCCACGGCATTGACACGTTCCGAGTGCTCTGTAAACTGTCCTCGAAACACTGGGGGCTCACAATTTACATCTAAAAGGAAGACATGACTCTTTGCTGCAAAAGTGTATATTCCAGACTTGTTACATTCGGCTGCCGAGCTACAATACCAGTTGGGAGAAGGTGGAAGAAGGCAGTTTCTCTCCGCCATTTTGGAATCTCCCGCCGTACTGAGCCTGGACCGGAGCGGCGTGCGTGTTCGAGAAGGAATGGGTTAAAACAACAAGATGGCGGCCTGCACGCTTCGTCCGGGTCAGTACAAAAACAGCTTTTTTCCCAAAAGAAGCAATTATTTAACGGTTTTAAGACAATCTTCCCTTTCTTAATTTATTGATTTGACATTTCTTTCGTTGTAGTTGAAGGTGCTATCAAAATCCTGAAATTTCAGCTAAGGTAAGAAACTAGCGAAACTCGAGTTTCCTGCCAGTTTGAACGAACAGATCAATAGTTAAGTTAAATAACCTTAACAAGCACTTCGTTTCTTTTCATTCTGTTTTGTATGTTTTCTTGTTTAATTTGACAGGAATTTGTCACTTCGCGCTGGAAGAGTCTCCCAGTTACACACAGGTATCCCAACTCCAGCAAGTTTCTCGGTGAGCCATGCAGTATGGGGCAAGACAAATACAGAACTCGAGCAAGAGAGAGGAATTCCAGAACAGCAAACAAAACAAGTGAGAATTGCTGTGTGATTATTAATTTACATGCATAATATAATGATCATCGGAAAACATGTTCACAAATCCACACAGATCCAGATGGGTTTTTCCCAAAAAGTGTAAGCTTAATATGTCAATAAATTAATAATAACTGTTTGTTGATTAATACTATAATGGCCATATACTTACAAATGGTCTTAAATTATCATTGTTTACACAGAAAATCTACAACAGTAGGCGAGATATTAGATGTGGYCCTCAGAAATTAAACTTAGTCGCTAGACAGGTAGGATACTTCTCCAATCTATGTATCAGAGCTATTACACATTATAAATGGTGTATTGATATCTTGTACCAAGGTGTTTCTTAGTTTCCCAATAGAAACTTGAAAGCTCTGGATGGAAACGATACCAGAAGACCCAGAATTTGGGTCGTACTATATGCATGTATWTTTTTTACTGATGGCACTGAATTTTTGAACCAATCAAATCAAAGAATCATTTTTCACCAACCAGAGCCTTCAATTTTCTGTGTGGAAACTGAGGAGGATCTGGGTATGAGAATGAAATCATTGAAAGAAGTGGGAGTCATCCCTTCCCCAGGTGCATTGAGCATCACTCGTTTACTCAGTGTACCCTCAGCCAGGTCATGTCTGGCAGACCAGTCATTGCACGGTTAACTATGCAGAATGCCAGCTCAGACACCCCTCTTCAGCAAGGAGGATATAGCTCCCTTTTTTATTCAAATTTGTATTCAAACATACAAAGAAGGATATATCTGGTGTTTATTAGATTCGTGGTTTGGAGATTAATGAGGCTTTGAAACAGATGGAGTTTTCACCAAAGAAAGCRGCAATAACAGTGAAAGAGGTKAGTGTTGGAATTACATGTKAAAATACTGTACAAGTGGTAATAAATTATCCCTCTCAAGGAGTTGTCTGTCTGTACAGGTGTGTTGGGCATTGGGTAACAGTCCACTGTCACYGATATATCTTATATGAAGCCATTTCCAAATAACYCTGTTATGTGGGCTAATGGTTATTGCAGTGGCCTCAAAAACCAGAGGCGATGTATTGAATCTAACTGGCTTGTTATGTGATCTGAATTTATCCTGTCAATGCACTAGTGAAGCACAATATATTTAAGCAATTTTCAGTGTGATAGTGAAGACATTCATTTGATTRTGTAGGTGTTAGAAGAAACTCAAAAGCTTGCAGCCTCAAAGCATGGGATTGAAGACAAATCCAATTTGTGGGTTGGTAAGTACAACAGGCTTATTGAGTTTTTTTTCTGGGAGATAACAATTAGAGGAAGAAACAATCCAAATAAAAGACAAATTACTTGGCATAATTGGGATTCCTGTGGTAAAATGCGGCCAGAATTATTATGTCAAAATTTCCCCTGGAACCTCAACCGGCTTTAAAAAAAACTTGGATCTACTGTTGCTTAGTGGCAGTTGTATCAGTGATCTCATTATTGCCTGAGAAGACTCTTGTGGTTTTGTAATAAGTGCCATGTAAAACTTACTGAAACCACCATCAATACTTTATTCTTTTGTAATCTTTGTTTTACACATTTTATTTTGAAGCTGTTATTCTATTTTTCCTCCTTGCGAAGTCAACCAATGCAAAGAGACAGACTATTTTATGATATCACACCAAAAATTATATATGCCAATCATGAAAATACCAAGCCTTTATAGTGCACCCTTTTATTGGAAAATACATTTATTGTACTAATATTAAGCTTATTACTGAGTTCCCATACCAACAAATCCTACGTTTTGTCGGCATATCAAATTAATAAGAAATTAACTTTTTTACAGCTGAATCGTACGTTGGCAAAGGTCGTTATATTAAAAAAATACGCTATCATGCTCGTGGAAGGTTTGGCATCGAAGAGCGTAAATACAGCCATTACTTCTTGATGTTACAAGAGGGACCTCTTCTTGGTAAAAACAAGCGAAGAAGRTTGAAACACATGGGTGAACTAGAAGAGATTAATCGACATCCTAGAAATATTAAGAACTCACTTGCATGGTGGTAGAACAAATTAAGGATTTATAAGTATATTCTCTTTTGGACGTTGAAGAAAATTGTTTTGAAACCACAGGAACATTGGGGTCGAGGAGAATTTTGAAAAGAGCTGCGTTTTCCCGCCAAAACTTGATAAAAAGACGAGCGCGCGCGCTGACCTAGCGCGGGGAAATTTTGATAACAACCAAAACTCTGTGTTACAGTGAGCTACTTGTTTATAAGAATCATACTGAGAGCCTGTCCATTTGCAAGAAAAAACTATTATCATGGTTGACAATCATTTCGGCCCAAATATCTTCTGTTTGGTAATTTTACTGAGCCTAGTTGAAATATAAAAGAAAATCCAAGTGGAGTATTGTTCATACATTTAGTGACAGAGGGTTCTCAAACGCAATAAACGTGTCAACATTTGTTTGTTTTAGGCTTTAATTATGGAAATGCAATAAACCACGAAATTGGTATTAAGTGCTAGGTTAATACACGTTAAAAGTGAATTTTCTTGTGTTAGGCATTATCATCTAAATGTAAGGAGTTTTCATGACCGAAGTTCGACTGAACAATTTGGTAAAACGGACGCGGCTATACCATATGAACTTACACGGATTGAGCTTTTGGATCGATGGAGGTCGTCTCACGTCTGACCTGACTGACTAAACCAGATTATTTGTATCTATCTAAATACAAAGTATAAGTACGACGCAATWTGACAGTCAATTGTAATTTTTGTGGGTTTGTTGTCGTTATTCGTTTGGACYACTACCGAAGCTGGACTCGGATTTTCTTTCRCGGATTTTTTTAATWGATGACTTCGATGTCATCTGAAAATGTAGCTTACCAAATTACTGCTATTAAAATAACTTCACTTTTTGTAATAAATGCGGTGTAAAGTGGCCACACCTCGCTTTGAATTGCACGCCAAGCTGAAAACTACGATAGCGTTAGATTTTTTCGCACATCTGTCCACTATTACTTACCACAACGTAGACAATCACTTATCTAAATTTAGAAATCTATATTTTGTACCCCAAAAACCGACGGCCGGAAAACTGGTCTGGGATTTTTTCCACTGTAAATAAAAGTAGCCTTAAGATTGTCTGTGAATGGCTGTTTAAATGCTCTAAATTTTGGCGGTTCTGCAAAATTTATGTTGTATAACCGCAGAGTTGAAAGGAAAAAAATCAGTGATTCTTGATACCGAAAGCTTACATTTGTCAATTTGACGTCATGAGATGGTTGTAATGGTGACGGGACTGGCACAGGGGCAAGAGTTTGAAACGGAASAGTAGTGCAACCAATTTCGTAGTTTTTTGTGTGTGTCTTTTTTAATCCTTTACGAACTTGTTGAATTTTTTTACAGAAACATTTTGTTCAGATGCAAAAATAAATTCATTTACGGCGATTTCTGCAAAGTAAATGTTGGCTCGGTATCGTCTCGGTTATCAACTGAAGACTCATAAAAAAAGTTCATTCCACTTTTACAGTGCCATTTTAATAAACTAACTAAAGAAAATGTACTATTAGATCATTATGTATAACGATAAAAGTATATTTCAGGGTTTATGGACACCGTGTACAAATCTCTTTGTTTTGTTTGACCGGCTATATTCATTGACAAACAGTAAACTTCATTTAGCTCCCTCCACACGACAGGAACGTCATGTGTTAACGATTCGCATTCAATTGTCCAGTCGACGAAGCTAAAATATTAATTTTTACCGTTTTCTGTCGATTTTCTGAAATCTCCACATACGATATTCATATCTAGTAAACGCGCCTTTCAGCTTATTAAACTGAAAAGTAGTCTTTAAAAATCATCGTCTTATTAAGGCTTAATAAGCCTAACATTCACTGAATATTGCAGTTGTGGGGACTATAGTACACAGTGCCTCGATGGTTTCGTGCAAGAAAACAACCTATTGTTCCGGTGYGGTAATACCCCTGTCAGTGGCAAGGATACTACCATCACTGCATCCATTATAAAGATGTGTGTTGTTATTTCCGGTTCGCTGGCGGACAAGGGTATAGCACACASCACTTGTTGACTGGTGATAAGATAAAGAAAAATGACAATCTCCGTGTTCTAAATATTTGTTGTAAGGTCATGATATCATCCCATTTGATGATATCGATTCTTAAGGAACTGAGAGTGGGCGATAACTGATGATAAAATGTCCGAGATAAAACCTAAATGTCTCTAAAATGGTAAGATTGCTTTGCGAACTTGGCGTGCCACAAAGGGTGTTTTGAAATGTAAGTCCCTACGTTGGCGGTCTTTACCTCCAAAAGAGWCCAATCGTTTTTAGCTATTTTCGCCTGTTAGAGCACAACTGGACATCTATCGCCTCACGGTCAAGTATGAATGTCTATTGAAATACGATACACARCTGTTTATTTGTCATTTTGGATCGCAAGAACGACTCAGGACGGAAAAGTGCAGTTCTCCGAATAAGAGAAAGGATCCAGATTAATATGCGGTTGTAAAGTTTTTGTTTTAAAGGCTGTTAAGTAGATAAAAAATTTGTTTTGTTTTCACAACCAAGGGCTGTTAATCCTTTCCTAATTCAACAATTCCATAAGACGATTTTTTATCATCACCTCTGCGGTCGCCGGAGGAAGAGTCAAAAATAACCAGTTTTAATAGGTTTACAATCTAGATTAGGAGATGCAACATTAGAAAAGAGTTMAGGGTGGAAGGGTGGAGATGGGAAAAGACAAAAAAGTCAATCAAAGATTGTTTTAGATAGAAAAAAGTAAAACTAAAAAAAAAATGGTGAAACTGACCATAACACGAGTTACGAAGAACTGAGAGAGGAATACACTGCTGAGAGTCCCACCTTTCCCCGCCCTTCCCCTGTCATCCCCCTTTTGCCAGCTGCTCTGTCTGTCTGTCTGTCTGACTGTCTTTCTTCTAATGGTGGATCCCTAGTGCTCTCGCCACAAAATGAAGAGTCGGCGTACATAGGTAAATAATTCACTATATTNATGCCAAAAAGGACCTTTCACCATTATCTATGATTTTTTTTCTCATCTTCGTCTTGAGATGTAATTTTAGTTGAAAAAGTTATTTGAACATTGGTAATATTGCCGAGACGCATTTCGCGCCCAGGGGGGGGGACTCCCTGATATCAAAGGGCGGGGGTCCTCGGCGGAGATTGTGAAAATGACCCCTAAAAGGGACGTCTATTGTGAGATGATGGGCGTGGCAGTGCTGGAATTTCAACCCTAAAAGGGACCAATCAATAACATGTCATTTTGTTTTGGTTTACCGATTTTATTTGTGTTTTTACACAATCATCGAACACCGTCGGCTCGTATTGAGTTTATGACGACGTTGCCATTTTATGACTGCTTAGGGTCGCCGTATACCCTAAAAGGGACCACAAAACACAGTTGGTAGGAATTCTTGTCATGATCACCCTAAGCGGGACCAAAATACTGATTTCAAACCCTAAAAGGGACGCCGAGGACCCCCGCCCTTTAATATTAGAGAGTCCCCCCCCCCCGGGCTGGCTATTTGACTTTTGAAGCGGTGGAGGAGGGGGGGGGGGTGATTTTGTAGACCACCTACAGGAGTACAAAACACAACAACAACAAACAGGCCATATTCAAATGTCAAATGGTCAGCCTCTAAGTGRTGATCACCTTTATCATTAGTCGTCAACACTGTCATCACATACCAATAATGCTGARAGACAATGCGCAGTAAGGACTGGTTTTCCAACCTTCCACAGGGAGTTTGGGACTACATTGATTGTCCATTCTACAAAACATTGCTAAATCTCTGTATAGCTCGATGTATGTATATAGTAACCATCTTGTTGGTTTTATTCGAAGTGCGTGTTTGGACGCATGGTTATACAATTATAAATGATAGCTTATTGAAGTGGCTTTTGAAATATCGCTATTTAAGAGAATGTCAGAGATGGATGCTTGATAAACGCGTTATTTCAGACGCTTTCAAGATACAAGGCATTATGTAGAAAGGTGACGTAGTTGACAGTGAATAAGAAAAAAAGAGAAGAGTGTATCATGATCTATGTGGCTCCCTAACATCTGACCGTACTGGTGGTCTTTTGCCATTGAGATTTTATTCATGAAATCTTTTTTTATATTTTTAATCTCATACGATGTCTTCTAGTTCATTTGTCMTCGAGGTCTGCTTTCACGTGGACATTTAAGCCTTCTGGCAAGAGTACACTGTGTTAGCAACAGAAGCATKTAATATATTATTTTATTCGATAACAGCCTGTGCAAATGTAAGAGATCAGTGAGTATGGAACACAATGAAAATAGTTTTAGTGTTTGTACTCTATGATAACATCGTCATTTCTGATCCAACTATGGCTTCTTTTGGCCAGCTAGTTCGAAGATAGTGGAAAACCGGTTGATTCTTTCCTTGTCCATTGTGTTAAAGGGGACGACAATACGACAGAACCATTCCTTTTACTTGTAGACAGCAATGGTTTATCATGGTCGTTCTTATTTCCCGTCATTTATTATCACCTGAGAGACAAATCTAATTGACACAAATGAGTGATACTATTGACAGTTAGGCATATCATCATGAGRATTATAGCTCATTGTTTGCACCAAATATTCAAAGAGCTTGGTCTGGTTTTGCAAAGGCGGATACATCAGCATAGTGCTATTCGCCGGATGATATAAACCCCCATCCAGTGGAAAAAAAACATGCAAAATGAATTTTATCTATCCAACGTCCGTAAAACTTCGTCGCTTGTTTATTATATAGCACCCCAAAGTCCTTCTCCAATCCCCAATTCACCGGGGCATAGTTGGGGGCGAAGGGTRGATGAAGTTATCCACCGGATAAAGTTACTCACTACATGTGGTTTTATCCATCGTGTAAGCAGGATATATCCCGGTATTCTATCGCTCATTCGTACWACACTGAATGGTCCAATGGTTGCCGCGGAGAACGCAACTACTAAAGATGAGTGAGTGCAGGCGAGAAACAGCAGGTTTAAAAAAAGTGGTACAAGAGTAAATAACACCACGTAGAGGCCGGTTGTACAAAGGGTGAAAAGCGCCTGATACATCCCTACATGAAAATCTAAGGAGCGTATAACTTAAACCGATGGATAACTTTATCCACGATTAGTACAACAGGCCCTAGAACTGTAAGTACCCAATCTACTAAGACCCCAAAAGTTGTCTACTGTCCACTCCTCTCGATAACCTCTTCGTATTTTGTTTACATTTGACTTGACTGACCTTCTAAATTGCTTGTCAATGTCATGTATTTTTTTACAGTGCGCTTTGATTGGCTAATAGCAATCCAGCACATCCCAAAAAGGAATGAAGCTATTGGATGTTGACGGATTTCTACCTATAGGTAGACAAAGAACGTTTTAAGGTCCCCAAAACGTGATAAGACTGCCATCAACACTTTATAACCTGATACAGAGTGTCCATCACTAYTACCTTATCTAGTCTTCGCGCGCTTTCAAACCTTTCTTCAAATCGTCTGGTCTGTTTTTGATTGGCTCCTTGAATGTGCTATACATGACCTAATCAACACGTACATTAAATGCAGTTTAGAACCTGAAGAAGAGAATCGTCTTGGGTGAGGTAGTAGAGCCCAGAAGGACATCAATGGAGGACTCCAAGAAGAACGAAGACAACAGCAAGGATGACGCCACTACTCCTTTGTCTCACAAAGCATCGGCTTTTTCGATTGCATCTCTCATGTCGTCTAACTGTGGCGAAGGTGAATGCTTGACAACGTGTGTCTTCAATATGTCACTATCGCCTGCTTGCGAAGACCTTATGTATAGATCTTCACATCTTGCGCTGAACTTTTGTGCGCGGTTTTGCTAGGCATGTATCCCAGTGTCTCTGATTTTACTTTTAAACATATTCTTTATAYTTCATAGGCGCAGAGAGTATTCGTAAAATCAGTGAGTGTGGTTTTGAAGATGAGGAATCGCAGCCTCTACCAAAACGCTCCAGATCCTCAGAGTCTGATGACTATACAAGTAGCGACAAAGAGGACGAACAAGAGAAGCAGACCACAAAGACGATAAGCTCCTCACCTGAAGAACTGAAGGATGTTCAGGTATCCCTGGAAGGTAGAGATCTCTGGGAAAGATTCAATGAATTAGGAACCGAAATGATCATAACAAAGTCTGGAAGGTAAGAGMTTTGTGGTCGATACTATGATAAATGTTGGTTTTAATTCAATTTACAAAGACAAAYTTCATGTCATCACTTATCACARAGAAAGGAAACATCGGTCTAGCTTARACTTTACACTCACAAACAATTCCAAAGCCAAATCTCATTAAACAAGCACTAAGAACCGCAAGTGTTATTGTCTAAATGTTGACACTGTTCTGTCTATATTGATGTAAAGAAGTGCTATAAACTGAGATCAGTCAATGAATAAACATCTTAATGATTTGTTGATCTACAATAAGGTGTTATTTCCTACATATTAGCGTGTCCTTTTCAAATATTAAGCTGTTAGGAAAACAGAGCATCAGATCCAAAGATACCGGAATATCATGTCTAAGCAGTTTACTTTCTGTGCATTTCACAGCGTTGTTGTGAAATCCCAGAAAAACCTATAAAATACAAACACTATAAAAAGACAAAGTTTAAGTTGTCTTATACAAGAGCAAGAGAGTATCACTGAAACAGCAATTCTATGGAAAGTACATAGTACAAATATAGCCTCCCATACTTCAGTACGAAGGCCGGAAAAATGAATACATCAAACGTACACGAAATCACCTCACAGCTTGTTCAAACCATATAGGTTAATATCAAAGCTGTGCCATACTTTTTAGACTGAAGTTCAGTAAGGTGGAAAGAAGCCTTCTTAGTTTGTGATTACGATCTTTTGTCAAAGTTTACTCTGGTTGGTGCTAACATCTGAGTGGCTTAATCACGGTTTTCTATCTTTCGATGTCTCTCTCCACACGCAATTTTTTCACTTCTTTATAMTAAGCCCTTCTATRAGATAYTAACRCTATTTCTTGCTTGATGTCTGCCTTTTTGCCTTGWCACATTGCAAGGCAAATTTGACGAASAAATTTCATCTTGTRTACAGGCAAACACAAGAGCTGTTCGATATCAATTTAATGCCAATTCATTACTTAAATACCACACCATACTTAGAGATAAGGACATTGAAGTTGAATCAGTCCYACCGAAAAATCACATTGCAMTGGAATTGTTTCAAAGCAAARTAATATAGCTRCTCAACAGATTTTTCAAATAAGSTCGATGGACTCTACTTTTGTGATACTTGGTTAGTTCATTTAGACATACGTATGAGATACAAGGCTTGTTTAAGGTCAAATTAACGCGGCCATACTACCCACTGAGGGACATGCATTTTTTGTTGTAAACCTACACGAACGCCAACAGATAAACGCTATTTGCTACGATTAGTACCTTTAGCCGAAACCTTTCTTTCTTTGGTGGTCCGTTGYTGGCACGGAAATAGACTTCGGGTCGCTGCTTAGGGATATTGTCCCAATCAACGATATATATAATTGAGTACATCTCTTCAATTGTTGCAAGTAGACAAAACATTTTCATGATTTTATAGCAATTAAATCGCGGGCTTTGATATTGACTGAAGAAAATTATAAATGAACTTTACTGACAGCCGACATTAGAGGCAAGAAGCAGGAAGATACCACGAGGAAACGTTTCTACGTTTCATAGTAGACGAACTGAAGAAGGCTTTGCATTAATATGTTCCCTSTTTACGGATATCACAGAATATTTACCCTTCTAAGGTCATAAACTWGTTTATTATTACAAAGTTTCATCATTTAAAACAAGCAGTGATATTGTTCTTTGAGATAATAAACCACAATCTCAGTTCCTTGAGATGGCCGACTTGTTGATGTTGTCAGTTTATGGAGAACGCTTGTGCTTCTCTGTGTGTGCGTGTGAAGGAAACCTTTTCTACTGTTTGATTTTTAAGTATTTTTTAGAATTATATACAAAGTATTTTCAGTGGTCATGAAAATGTTCAGCTCTAAAGTGGTTTCCAGCGAAGTATCGTTTTAAAATCGGATGAGTGTGTCTTCTTTAGCCTTTTTCACAATAAAGCTCATAAATTTCTGTGACAAAACGCCAAGCAATACACCGTTTTAAATGTCTCAACGACATTCCATAAAGCATATGTAGTACTTTGAGCTTCTATTTCAATTTAAGTCTGAATGTATTTAGT